TCCTTCCTCCAGCAGGTCCTTCCTCCAGCAGGTCCTTCCTCCAGCAGCTGTTAGACTCTACAACCATCACTGCTCCAACAAACTCTACAAGGACTAAATACATGCTGACCTCTGCTGAAACACACACTCTGCCTGTAACACTGTCCTGTCAATACTCTGTCCTTATCAATGTTCCAACACATATTGAACATTATTATTGATATTTTTATCTTATTTCTTATATATTGGTTTTAACATTTAGGAACTTTTGTGTGAATCTTTTTATATTTTTATCTGTTGCTGCTGTTATACTTGAATTTCCCATCTGTGGGACAATAAAGGCTGTTTCTATTTAAACTCCAGCTGTCTTGTCTTTTTAAATACATATCACGCCACAGACGACCCACCAATCAAACGTCAGCTAACATCACTGCACTTGGTCCTTCCAAGTGGCTCCGCCCACTTTTGGGTATAAACAAACTGCAATTGACAACTTTATAAATCCTATTGGTGTCTTGTCTATTATTTACTGTAACCAGTGAAAAAGGTCAAATAAAGACGACTGTGATGAGAGCATGTGGCCCCTGGGTGGCCCTCGCTGTTCCTCCAATCTGATGAACTTTAGTTTGTATTTATGAACGTTAATTTATTTGATCTGGACTCACACTGACATCTGACTGACAGACCTCTTTAACAACCCTAACCTCTGAGCTGCTTTAACGCCCCGTCAAAGTGGCAGCTTTGTCTCTCAAAAAGGGGTGGGGCTTTATTTTTCCTAAAATGGGGCGGAGCATTGAACAAGGGCTGAGAACCCAGATGTGCTATTTCAGTAACAAAATGGTTCTAAACACAGATGTTGAGCCAGTTTGGACCCAGTTTGAAAAGTTTGCTCGTTAGCCTCTGTCTCGTAACCTTTATCTTTTTAACGATTTAAACGCCACTTTAAACATTCACTGATCATATGTTGTTTACTGGTTATAAGTTGTTTGTGTTGTTGTTTACTTTTTACTGACTGCCAGTGAATGTAGCATTTTAGCTAACTCAAGTGGTGTGATGCTAAAGTAGAAAGCTTTAGCTAAAGGTTGTTTATTGATGATGTTTATCCAGCAGGAACATCATGTGATGAGGATGATGATGATGATGAAGCTTGTGCTCTCTTCATCAGCCCGTCAGTACTTAGCCCACTGACTTACCCGGATTAGCCAGATTAGCTGGCTAACTGCAGCTTAGCGGCTAACAGTTTCAGCACGTGTCGGCCATGTTGGCTGACATCAGCCTTCAGTCTACGTTGTTGTTTCAGAACCCGATCCGGTTTGTTTCCTGATCTTTAATCTTCCTGTCTTTGATTTTATTTATCCTCCTTCTTCTTGTTTCAACCTCAGAGTCTCGAAGCGTCAGCAGCTCTAAAAACAACTTCTTCCAGGAAGTTCATCCAGATCAATGTTTCCTCTTTGTTCTCTTGTTCCTCAACGAGACGCTGGTTTCAACATGCCAGCACCGTGGAAACACTGTCAGTACCAACCAGTCTGGACCTGGGGTGGGGGGTTCTTTCTGACGTATGAAGACCCAGGTTTGGTCTCCCGGTTCTGATCTGGGTGGTGTTCTGGATCAGAGCAGGTTCTGACCTATGGTCGGCTTTAAATCTCAGAAACTGAAACACAAACAAATTTTAAGGTTGAAGAAGATGAACTGCACCTTTAAAGATGATGAAGAAGATGATGATGACTCTGGGTGTCATGGCAACTGTTATGTTACACACACACCCCCCCCACACACACACACACACACACCAACCCTCACTTTGCTTCAGTTTCATTCCTCTTTGAATCTTTTCATACTAGTTTCTGCTGTGACTGTGACCCAGTTACCCCCCCCCCACGTGTGTGTGTGTGTGTGTGTGTGTGTGTGTGTGTGTGTGTGTGTGTTATATTTAGCTGTGAGACATTCATGTCATGAAGGAAAACACACACAGTCCTGAGTTAGAGGAGCTAAAAATAAGAACCAAGGTCAAGGTTATCTGTATTTAGCTTTTAGCTACTGTTCAGCTTTTAGTTACATGCTGCAGGCTTCATTTAGCTACAAGCTGAACTATTTGTGTGTTGATTCCTTCATGTGTGCTGTCTGTATGTGAACACATTTCATGTTCGTGTGACGAGTACAGTATTTACCTTTTAGTGCCGTTAACATTAGCTCACGTTTTTAGCTAGCTTTAGCATGTGTTTAGCTGCTTTACTGCCTTCGGTAAGTTCAAAGGTTACTTGGTGTTTTTGAGAATCAACTAATGGACTGATTGACAATAGCTCGTCCTCCATGTCCTCCAGTGGACAATGCAGGACAGAGCTGCTGTCCTCAGCTGGTCCTTCCTGTCCAGGGTGTCCATAACTGTCCAGTCCAGTTGTTGATGAGCTGAACACCCAGGTGTCTAAATTATCCACCGTCTCCGCCTGCATGTCTCCCGCAGGTGTCTTCCTGATCCCATACCTGCTCATCGTCTTCATCGGAGGAATCCCCATCTTCTTCCTGGAGATCGCTCTGGGTCAGTTCATGAAGGCCGGCAGCATCAACGTGTGGAACATCGCTCCACTCTTTAAAGGTGTTTGTTTATCCTTTTATGTTTTTAACAGTTTGTTGTTATTTGTGGCCTCTTCTTGTGTTTGTGTCACGTGACTTCCTGTCAAGTTGAGAACAGAGCCAAGAAATGTCCGTCTTATGATTTCATTTTATTGTCTCAACACTGAAAACGTCTCCAAAACGTTAATTCCTTTGTGTGGCAGCAGTTGAAGGAACGGGTCAGGCACTAGGACCATGTGGTCGCAGCTTCCTTCTGCAACCTCTACAGCTACGTACTGAGAAGAAGAGTCTCTGTCACATTGATCTAAAATAGAACAGCAGTGACTTTTCAACTTGGAAACAGAAATTAAAGTTTGGAACATTTTTAATCTGAGTAGATCAAAGTTTGAGGTTGAGGTGAATCTGATGAACTAAGCCCCTCCCACTTCCTGTCCATACAGTGGTGTAGTCATTTCTGTGTTCATCAGTTTGATTAATGTTTCTTTGTGATGAAACTAATAATAAAAACACACAGGAGTTTCACTCTAATGTCCTGAGAGGCTCCACGACTTGGACTCAGAACCAGGATCCTGGATCCAGGATCTGGGTCACGTCTGAAGGTTAAACATTAGGAGCTGTTTCAGTTTTTGTTGAGGATTTTTATGACTTTTACTAAAACGTTTTCATTAAAATTCAGAAAAAAAAAACACATTTTCAAACAAAAAAACAAATGATTAAAACTCTTTTTAAGTAAAACATCCAGATAACTGTTTAGTCTCAATTGTTGACGTAGCTGTCTTGAGCTGTGGCTGCACGGTTGTCGGTGCTTCTCACGGTGGTCATCCTTGAACTCAGTGGTGGATGCCTCAGGTTAGGGAGGCAGTCAAGCTGAAGGAGTCCTATCGGTCCTTGTTGGCTGGTGGGACTCCAGAGGCAGCTGAGGAGTACCGGAGGGCCAAGCGGTTCACAGCCGAGTGTGAAGCAGCTGGGATGAGAACCAGCACCTCCAAGTCTGAGGTCATGGTCCTCAGTCTGAAAAGGGTGGATTGCTCTCTTCAGGTCGAGGGTGAGGTTCTGCCTCAAGTGGAGTTCAAGTATCTCAGGGTTTTGTCCACGAGTGAGTGAAGAATGGAGCGTGAGACTGACAGACGGATTGGTGCAGCATCGGCAGTATTGTGGACTCTGTGCCGGTCCGTTGAGGTGAAGAGGGTTGCTGGTCAGTCTACGTTCCTCCCCTCACCTCTGGTCATGAACTCTGGTAAGGATGCTCCCTGGGCGCCTCCTTACAGAGGTGCTTCAGGGATGTTCATCTGGGAGGAGACCCGGGGAAGAACCAGGACACTCTCGAGAGACTATGTCTCTCAGCTGGTCTGGGAACACCTTGGAGTCCTCCCAGAAGAACTGGAAGAGGCTGTGAGAGAGATGTCTGGACCTCCCTGCTCAAGATGCTGCCCCCGAGACCTGAGTCCAGAACAAGAAGAAGATGATGGATGAATGGATGGATGGATG